AGTAAAACTTTATATTCCTCTCCATAATGAAAATATGCTGGGGATGGAAGGGGAAGGGTGACAGTCAGAGTTAAGTTCTTTGCTAGCCAACCTTCAGGAATACCATCACTACCTTCCAGCTTTCCATTTATTTATTTATTTTAAAATATATTTTTATTAATTTTTTACAGAGAGGAAGGGAGGGAGAGATAGAAACATCGAGAGAGAAACACTGATCAGCCGCCTCCTACATACACCCCACTGGGGATGTGCCCGCAACCAAGGTATATGCCCTTGACTGGAATTGAACCCGGGACCCTTCAGTCTGCAGGCCTATGTTCTATCCACTGAGCCAAACCTGTTTCGGCCCTGCTTCCCATTTTTATTAAAAGGAGAAACCTTTAATAATTAGTTGCCTCACAATGAAGTGAGTCCTTATGAGAGGCTGAATGCTCTATCACTGAACATAGAGTATATAATTGAGAGATTCATGCAAGAGGGAGACGCTAGTCTATATGACCTCAGAGGGTGAGAACCCCACTGTGAGGTTCTCTACCCATCATACTTAGGAATCCATGAAACACAAAAACCGCTATTAACAAATTCTAAAGGGCAAGGAATCTCCTGTTGAACACCCTAAAGCTACTACAATATCCAACACATAGATACTTAATATGTTAACTTTGATTATTTTGAGGCATTACATCAAAATGGTTAAAAGTACAAAATGGAACCAGAGTGCCTGGGTTGAATTCTAGTGTTCCCACCTACTAACTTTACGATTTAACTGCACGTGCCTCTATTTCACATGGGCATTAAAATGGTACTACATTATAGAATTTTTAGGAAGATTAAATTACTTAATTTATGTGAGGGAATTAAAATAATGTTTTATGTGTTAGATATTAGAATTATTATTATCATGTAATCTCTGAAGACCAATTCAATAATACAGAACAAAATAATATAGCCACATATACTCCAGCTATAACTAAAAAACAAATTGGTAAAGAAATGTTATTTTTCTTTTACCATAAATTATGTTTTCTACTTTTATATAAGATTGAAATAAAGCTCAGTCACAGACCTGAAGACTTAAATTGATCACTTGTAGTTTTTAACAATGAATCATGTCCAGATTTTTATACAAATGTTTGGTTATGTTAAAAGAAGTTTTCCTTCCTACTAAACATCATATGAAATTTCCAATGCAATTTATAGATTAAGATAGTCTTAAATAGCCATTATAAAATTAAAAGACAATAGAGCAATTATTTTATTAATACTCTTAAACTGATTAACCACCTGTTAGGTCAAGGCAGGGGGGGAAGCCCAGAGCCAATGCAAGCATCTGCAAGGTGGAAGGTGGCAAAGATAGCTGGCTAGCTGGCGCCTTCCTAGACCCCTGGCCAGAGGCAGGAATTCCACATCTCTCATGCCCTCCACCCTCCCCTCCCTAAACAGCTGTATAAAAGTAGTACCTGTGCCGCTTTTTGGCGCGAACTTCCCTGGCCCACCCTCGGACCAGTGAGCTTCGCCCGGGAGAGCAGATTAAACCTCCCCCCTTTTAATCCCTGGACTCCATGTCTTGCTTCTGCATCGCAAACCTCTCAGCTGGAACCTTACAACACCATCCCTTCCTGTAGTATTCTATAATTCTCCCAGAATAACTATGTTGATGCCTTACTGTCATCAAGATCTAACACCATCCCTTAAAATGACTCTATTGTCTTCCAATGAAAATATGCACAAGATGCCGAGACTGGTTTGGCTCAATGGATAGAGCGTCGGCTTGGGGACTGAAGGGTCCCGGGTTCGATTCCGGTCAAGGGCATGTACCTTGGTTGCAGGCATATCCCCAGTAGGGGGTGTGCAAGAGGCAGCTAATCAATGACTCTCTCATCGATGTTTCTAACTCTCTATCTCTCTCCCTTCCTCTCTGTACAAAATCAATAAAATATATATTTAAAAAAAGAAAAAGAAAATATGCACAAGAATCGGGGATTGCTCAGGATAAAGGGTCATGCACTCACAGTAAGTTCCTTTTCTAAGATGTGAAGTCTGCTTTTGTTTGGGAGGAGGACGGGGCAATTTATAGTAGCTCCTGACAGCTTGAAAGAAGAAAGTCAGCATGACCTAGTGATGTGCCATAGCACAGTGTAGGCAGAGCTAAGACACATTATTTAGAAATTACATTTCTTTCCCACTAAAAAAAGAAAAAAGATGTTCTCATATTTTAATTAAGATGGAGTGCCTAGGACAGAAGTGCTACAAAGGATCTGCAGTTAGATCAACAGAGAGGACACAGGAGGGGTACTTCACACAGCGGGGTAAGGATTTTATGCCTTAAACCTTCTTTCATGTGACCTTCTCTCATGCATTCTAAAAGCAAACTGCTATCTCTCTGTCTACCCATGTAGAAATTAGTAATTTATATATTTAGTCAGCTGGTACCCAACGTCTAAGACTCCACAGGATCCCCCACCTTCAAAGGAGAAGAGCACTTTAGGCTAGAAAATGGGTTGTTTTTGCAAAAAAGGCCAAATAATCTCACCCAGAAGACTGAAATTATGCAATTCAAATGAGTTTCTTGGAAAACAGAATAAAATTAAATCGCAGAAATACTATGTTGCTTCAAATTTGGAAAGGAAACTTTCATGGTTACTGCAAAAAGAAAAAGTTAGTGAAAGTAATCAAATTATAGTTGTCATTTATTCCATATCCTCTCATAATACACTTTTGTTCTTTTACTCATGAATTCCAACCTCAAAAATATTTTTTTTGCTAATTTTCAAACATTTCCAAAGTAACAGGTAAATTGAGTTTGCCTAAATATTTGAAAAATAATTCATTTCACAAAATTAGTCTTTCAAAGTAAAATTTACTTAATCTAAATGAACGCACTGCATAATATCTAGTCTGATTCATACTATTCTATTCTAGGTGATATTGAAAGTGTTTAAAAATAATTAGATATTTAATAATTATTTATTGATAATATTAAATATGTTCTCTGTCTAGAAAACATGTATTATAAGAGATTTTTTAAAAGTTGTTTAAAAATTTTTTGTTAATCCTCATTCAAGGATATTTTTCCAATGATTTGTAGAGAGTGGAAGGAGTGGGGAGAGACAGGGAGAGACAAGAGAGACACACATCAATTGGTTGTTTCCCACACCAGGGATTGAGCCTGCAACAGAGGTACTTGCCCTTTACCAGAACCCAGGACCCTCTAGTCTGAGGGTCAATATAAGAGATTAAAAAAAAAAAAATTAAACAATTGTTCATATGCAGAATCATATCACTTCTCTGGTATTTTATATTACAGAATATGAAGGTATTTTATGAATGTTCATTATGTACTTATAAGCAACCATGAGTGCTTACAGATAATTTAAAGTAGGTATTCTCAGGCTGACTTTCTTAAGGCCACAAATATAATTCAGTCACAGTGCTTAACATTCTGTAACTGAACTCTGATTCCAAGATGAAAAGGATTTTTATAGGATTTTAAGTTATATGTGAAAAATACAGTTGACTGTGCTTTGCATGGCCAGGGTCATCCTGACCCAGAGTAACCAGCCAGTTCACTGCTTTCTGGCTGCAGTCAGAGCAGAGCTACTCAGACAACTTGTTGATGTTTTGAAGAAGGGACAGCACTCTTAAATGGCCTGAGATTGGCAGTAAACCACAGAGAAAATGGCTTGAAGTGCCAGCAATGAGGTAGTAGTGGAGTCATGGAAATAGCACTGAATTAGGAATAAGCAGAGCAGAGCTCAACCTGCAGCCCAGCCAGCCATCCCTGTGAAAAGGTGGCCAGGTGGATGATAGGGCAGCAAGTACATGGATGGTTAGGCTCAGTCACACCACAGTAATGCTAGAACAGAAAACACAGAGAGTGTTAGCAAAACCAGCTGGGGTTAAACAAGAAAAGGGAACACAAGTTAAAATATATTCCACATATATTTTATGTGAATACTTGAAATCACAGGGGATCAAAATACATCTATCATTATAGAAACTAAAAGACAAATGTGATGAGCCACAAATTACATTATATATTTTCAAAAAAATAAGAGTAGTAAAAAAATAATGTAAATACTTTATTTAATAGAACTAGAAAGAAGGTCAAAGTTGGAAAGGACCAAAGTTATATCAAAGACCTAAAAATAAACATTACCAATGAAAAACCAGGAAAAAAATCCCCAAATGTGGCTAGATTAAAAAAATATATAGACAATAATTCAAAAAACTTAAAAGTTTCTAAAACTTCCACTTAAAAAGTCAAAATACTTACTCTAAAAACAAAGAGAGGCTCTGTTAATGATAAAAATTTCAGATGAATGAGAAATAATGATTTAATATTAACTCTTGGAAGAGAAAAGGGCTTATAAGAGACTTTAGATCTATTTATGGAGTATCATGCAAAATGCAAAGAATTGAGCAGTGATGATTTTTTTTTTTTGAAGAGAGAACATTTAAATCTATAGCACTTAAAGAAACTTGTCAACAAAAAACACACATCTATATTTAAAAATATGTAAGCAAATAGTAAGAGTATCAATTACTAGGTTTAATGCCCAAATCTCTTCTTTTTATTGTCCATAAGATTTTCTTCTTTGTTATAAAAGGACTTTAAGATTCTTATTTCAATAACTGTCATAAGCATTGCCCTTTACCACTATTTTCATGGCAGCCATCACATGAGCTCCCTACACATGTCTAGAATAAGAAACTTGTTCAGACTTCAGTCACCAAAGCCTTAGATTTGTCATTTCCTATTACTATAATATTAACACAGTTCTTAAGTTTTATTTCTAAGAATTCAAGAAGCAAATATGAGACGTTTTAGATCTATTACATACTATCATATTTAAAGTTTTACTAGTAGAAATAATTGTTTCCCAAAGTTCTGCTGTTGTAATGCAGAACTAGGTTTTCTATAATTAAATATGATTTCAAGCATCTAGTTGACCAGTAGCCCCAAAATTTGTAATTACAAATATGTACAAAGTACTCACTTCAACAGTCTCGATTTTCCCCTCATGGCAATGTGGTGTTCTTGGATAGATGTCAAAAAGATGTGGTGATGAGTCAAAATGTAATCTTTTGAGATTTCTTTTAAGAACATCTTTAGAATTCAGTTCATCAAAGTTAGTCCTCCATAATAAAACCTGTTAAAAGAAATTAAACAAGTTGGCACCTTACTGACTTGCATATACAAGCAATAGAGCTGATTTTTTTAAAAACGAATATACAAAATTGCCTTTCAAAATAGGAAGACTGGATAATTATTCCAACAAAATTACTACTTCTTAATACTTTTTTAAGGGTGAGAGATTTAGCCCTTTGAATTACCTTCATGTCATTTAAAATTCATATTAAGAAAATAACATTACTTCAAAATCCTCTTTTTTCCCTTTAAAGCTTAAAACCATGTTGTCTACTTTATTCAATAAATATGACTATGAGTGACTTTTGGCTATTTTAAGTAAATGCAAACTTGTTGCATAAACAATTTATATTTACAATCCTCAAGAACCTTAACATTTCAAACACAAGATACAGACAAAATATTAGGCAACAATTCAAGTGAAAGTGACACATTAATATTTGGCATACAATAAGTGTCAGTTACATGTATAAGTGTAAATACAAACAAAGAAAATAACTGCTACTTGAGTTCCAAGAATTATCAAAACTGTCACGATTTCAGCTATGAAATAGCAGATGTCTTGGCATTAAGATAAAATATAAATTCATTAATATACATTGGAATATATACAAACAAGCTGGTTGTAAAAAATCTGTGCTGAGGTCTTGGATTCCTTTGCCCTAACCCTGTGGTCGGCAAACTGTAACTCAAGAGCCAAATGCAGCTCTTTGGCCCCTTGAGTGTGGCTCTTCCACAAAATACCATGGCCTGAGCGAGTCTATTTTGAAGAAGTGGCCTTAGAAGAAGTTCAAGTTTTAAAAGTTTGGCTCTCAAAAAAAATTCCAATCTTTGTACTGTTGACATTTGGCCCTGCTGACTAATGAGTTTGCCAACCTCTGCGGAAGAGAGCCGAAAGACACACAAACCTGCATATCTGCGCCTCCTGATGAAAAGAGCTCTCCACCTTTTGAAAATGAAACAGTAAAGACAGGTCCCTAAGATATAAATGGAGATAAAAGAAAAGTTACTTGATGATGTTTTTTCATGGCCAAGTGTACTGTGAATATTAATTTTTTTCTAATTTATATAGACTATTGATCCAATAAGTCTGAGAGAACATATTTAACTGCTGTAATTAATGCAGGTAGAGTGAAGGTAATCAAAGAACCAATCCAATTATATCAAAACACAAATAAGTTATATTAAGTGCAAAAGAAATTATAATAAAAAGTTTAAAATACACTTTTTTTTCCTTTTTAAAGAAAAGCTTTGTACCTATTTAAGTTAACAAGAATTTCTCTTAAGACTGTCTGGCTTTGGACTCATTATTCAACAAATCACTAGCAGAAACTAAAAGATAACTCTGAGAGCGATAAGAAAGATGCTACATGAAAAAAAGGCCATATTTCCATTTTCTGACTTCAATAGCTTCACTAAGTCGCCCTCATGTGAGCAACAGTGAGCCACTAATATTTTTAAAAGCAGGACATAAATAGGAAAGCTTTGTTGAAAACTGATGTCACAAACACTTTGTAAAGCATATGACTGTCTAACCACTATACCGTGTACCTGAAACTAAAACAAAACAATACTGAATGAAAATTGATGTTGCAATTGTGAGATGATGGATTGAAGTAAGAATGAATGATTGGAGGCCAATTAGGAAGTTAACTGCAATTATTTGGGTGAGAGGTAATGAGAACTTGAAATTGAGCAATGACTGTGAAGTTGGCTCAGTCACAACATGCATAGCCTCTAGGTTAATTTTTCAATCAAGATAAGAGTAATTATTTCTCAATTCAAAATATCAGTATATTCTGTTCTGTTAATGTATCCTTAATCTATACAAGAAAACTTCTTAAAGAAAACCTTTTATTTTTTAAGTTGACAACCCCACAGGTTTAGGTTACTGTAGCCCCATAAACATCTTTTTCCTCCACATTGTGAAGAATTCCACCTCTATGTATAAATTTTTCTTCTAAAATATTGTTTATCTTTTTTTCTATTAATCTATTTCCATGGATATTTGAATCCTTAGCTACTTTTATTGGTTATTTATTCAGCTTAAATATACACATGAGCTGGTTTGTGTCTATTTCTGCTTCACACTAACACAGCTGCAGAGCAAATGACAAAGCAAGCAGGAAGCCAAAAAAAAAAACAAAAACACCCTCCTCCCCTAGACCACTGAGCCCATTCATTTTTTCTGGATATATAAACTGCTTATACGTGGTTAAAAGGTAGTATCTAGTACTTTTTAAAAAGTATGCATTCTAAAATATTTAGAGGCATTTGAATATTTACCCAGAAAGGAGGATTAGTTTACATACTTAAAAAACCTTTTCTTTAGTGTGTTATATGCCAGGGTGTGTGTGTGTGTAATTGAACAAGCTCAATAAATAGAACCTCACTTCCCCACTGGGTTCTAAATCAAGTGAGAAATAAGACAAAAAAAAAAAAAAAAAATAAGGCATATGAGAGCCAAATATCACCTTTCTTACTGATAAAGGTTTACAAAGAAAGAATGTGGCTTTATGTGTGCAAATGGGTTTTCTAGATCTGAATACCAGAATGAGTCAGATCTGAGTGCCCAGTCACAGGCAAGACTGGACAAGGGCAGACCTCCCCACAATAAGTATCAGAGGAAAAGTAAGGGCAGACTTACTTCCAAGAGCAGAAGTCATTGGGCTCTACTTGTTAAATTACTCCTTTTTATCTCACCAAACTAGTGAAAGAAATGATTGCAGGGGTGCAGGAGGCTGAGTGTCAGAGCTAGTGGGACAACCTCCACATAAGAAGATCAGAGACTGGGGGAAAATGTATCTATCACCACTTAACCAGTTAAACCTAAGCTATATCCTGATGAAGATAATAGTGAAAGATTAATTTAATGGCTATAAAATATACAACTTTATTTTGACAAGAATTACAATAAATTTTATTTCTAAGAGTTGCTTTTAGAGGATAAAAACATCATCTTGGAGGCAAAAATATTTTTATGGCAGCAGCAATTTATGCTACAATCGGAAAAATATAACAAAGGCATATAATAAAGTGGATCAAAACTTTAAAATATATATCATTTAAAAAACAAAAATCTCAGTATTAGTACCGAATGTCCTTGAAGTGTATATATGAGCCTTCCTTCTAGTAGATCCAGAATCTTAAGTGTACCATCTGAAGAAGCAGTGATGAGATAGTTACCCGAAGGATGGAATGATACACAATTAACTCCGCCACTGTGAACTGATTTGTAGAAAATAAAGCAAAAATTTTAGAGAACAATTCTTAATTCTACTAGTAAAGATGCCCCTTGGATCTATTAGCAGTATTAGGTTGAAAACAAAAATCAATTTAAGGCAATGTCTCCACAACACCAAATTTTTAAGTAGCTTGGTACTAAAACAAATACTAAGTAGTCTCACATCATATAGCTTGAGTATCCAGCTAATGAGAAAGAATAGCTTTCAATATGAGAATAAGTCATAGAAAGATGATCTTGTAAACCACATCACATAACTAAAAGTCTTCAGATATATTAACAATATAACCAACCATTATTACCGGCTCATATAAGGTATACAACCTTGCCTTAAGCTAAATTTAGTAGTCAATTAGAAGCTTGGTAATAAGGGTTAGAGTGTGGAGATACTACTATATTTGGAGAAGGGCACAATCTTGCCAGTTTGAGCAACCATTTCTCATTTCACCATCCCTCCAATAGGAGGCAGTATAATACAGTGATGGAAAGTCTAAACAGAAAGACCCAGGTCAATTTCCAATTCTTCTAGAAGGTCACTTAGCCTCTCTAAGCCTCAATTTCCTTATCTTTAAATGGGAGTAATAATAATACCGCCTCTTGGGCTGTTGTTAAGATTTATCAGTGTAGTTACATGGTAAATATTACACTTCCTATTGTGTCTAAACTCAATATAAACCAAGAAATTGATTTATTTCTCTTTTAACTTGAATACAAAGGCACAGTCAGATGTTGTTTTCTACCAGTTATAACAAGTATTTGTGCCAATTTCTATCCCTGACTTCTCATAATTATATAATCAAAATTACTCCAGCAAATAACCAGTGTTTGCAACTTTCACAGTAATATCTCTCTCTCTCTCTCTCTCTCCTCTCTCTCTCTCTCTCTAATCCTGGCATCATTTCTAAGGTGTCTTCACCTCCCTCTCCACTCTGACATCTACCCCAGCTTCTCAGACCATGCTGCTGATGGGGGCTAACTGTTCTTTAGTCCACGCAAAAGCAGCCCGAGCCCGTGACTCTTCAGAGAGCCAGACCACACTGAGAAGGATAGTCTGTCAGTTGAAGAGTTTCCCAGGAGTCCACTCAACAACTGAATTATTTTGTTATAGAAACTGTACCTTGATAATGCTGGAGTAATTTGTTTAATCGTATATCCCAGATTTTCACAGTATGATCAGAACCTGCTGAAGCTATGCATGTACCATTAGGACTAAAATCCACAAAATTTGCAAACCTAGAAGGAAAGGGTAAAATGGTTTCATATTTTGATTTCTTTAGTTTCATTTCTTTATTCAAACTGTAATAAGTTAAATATCTCCTTATTAAACCACATCACATAAATGCACAAATAGAATACTTACCCTACAGAATCTGAGAAATTACTGACACACTGCTTACTTGTGGTATCCCAAATTTTAATAGTTTTATCCTCACTACATGATACAATTAGTCTTCCATCGGGTGAAAATCTGGAAAACACAAGAAAGAAGATTGTTTCCTGATAGGCTCCTGATAATCACAAGCACAGCCATCACACTCCCACCATATACCAAGTCAGGCTGTACATATTAAATATTGGAGACCACTGTTACCACAACATGTAGCAAAGTCTTATTCTGTAAACCACCATCTTTTTAACTAAGCATGACAAAAGATACTGATAGGCCATTAAAAGGTCAAATCACACTATGTATTATAGATTAACCAAGGTCCTTCTCCTTTCATTTTTTTTTAAGTAATATAGTTTTATGGCACCTGTTCTAGTTTTTTGGTTCATTTCTGCATTCATTTCAAGCCAAGTACCTCCACTCATACTCTCTCTCTCTCTCTCTCTCTCTCTCTCTCTCTCTCTCACCATGTACCTTGCTTTTTAAAAAAAATATTTCTTTCTCTTATATCTGTCATTTTTCTGGTGTTATCCATATGATCCAAGAGAGCCTTTATTGTTCATCCCTCCTGTTGTTAAGGCTTTTTGCAAGAAAAGGACTTGTATGTTTAGAATTAAAATTAAATGATATCATCAACAAAAGAACCAGCTCCCCAAACTCATAAGTTCCTGGACATGAGGAGGCCAGAGAGCTCCACTGGACTGAAAGGAGGACAACTTATTAACATGGAATGGAAACTCCTTCCTGTACACACCTATCATCCACAGGCCCCATTAAAAAATAAATGACAGCCGAAACCGGTTTGGCTCAGTGGTAGAGCGTAGGTCTGTGGACTGAAAGCTCCCGGGTTCGATTCTGGTCAAGGGCATGTACCTTGGTTTCGGGCACATCCCCAGTAGGGGATGTGCAAGAGGCAGCTGGTCGGTGTTTCTCTCTCATCGACGTTTCTAGCTCTCTATCTCTCTCCCTTCCTCTCTGTAAAAAAATCAATAAAATATATATTTAAAAAATAATAATAATAAAATGACAAAATTTTTATATGGCTTGTCTACTGTTCTTATGCTCTCCTTTCATTTTAAGATCCTTTTAAAAGTTTCCCCTGTCCTAAGTGACTTTTTAGGATAGAAGAGCAGAAGACAAAAAAAAAATTTTTTTTAGACTACTATAAATTATTAATAGTATTATTATAATTAATATTTTAGTGATAACAAAACCCTCCCCAAAAAGATGAATTTAGGTCACAGACTGATTATGTTTCAATCTTATTTGTATTTCCCTCTTTGTCCAGATTACTGTAAGTCATCAATTGTGGGTGTGGATTATAATTAAAGACTTTTCTTTTTATTCTCCTCCCTTCCTGTTCTTAAGGCTGACCTAAGAATAATTTTTCCTGACAGAAACTTGGGATATGGCACCTTTGGATGGGATATGGCACCATTAAAAAAAGAAAAGACACAAAAGCACAATTAATTTATACATAAATAATCTTTAAAATTCAGGAAAATAATCTTGTAAGAAAATATCTTCCATGATGGCAGTTCAGGCTAATTTTATAATAATGTAATATATTATTAATCTTTTCTAGCAGAAAATATCTGATGAAGAATCAAATATGAAGGACAATATTCTAGAAATGCTCCAAACAGGTAAAATTTATTTCACAGACCCTGGGGATAAGAAACCTATTCAATATTCCCATGAAAATAAATTTTACATAATAATGTAAACAACCAATTCAAGAAATTAAATTGTATTTAAAGAAGCTATCTTTTAAAAAAATTTACCTAATGTGAATATTTCTTCAAATGGTAAGAATATTTCTGAATGACTTGATTCTTATATTTTAAGAGACCAATGATGAAAAAAAGTAATAAAATGGAATGATCAAATTAAAAACAGAGTACGGAAATTCTCTCCCAACATTACTGACTAAATCCTACCAGCACTACCATCATCACTATCCCGCTAACCCCACAGCAACTCTTTTAATCCTCAATCAACCCTACAAAACAGGTGCTATTGCTGGCCTCAATTTACAGATATAGAGATGGAGCACAAAAAGGATCAGTAACTGCCAGAGTCACACAACCACGAAGATGAAAACCAGACAATCTGGCTCCATAGCTAAACTCTCAGTCACTCTGATGGCTCCCTACTGGAAAGGTAAGTGTCTTCTATTGGCCAAAGAATTTGGGACACACCAAGTTCCTGTGTGACTCCTGTGTGACCAAAGAAGGCCCTAAAGTGGAGAAGCATGAGACAGTGCTCCTCAGATGCTACGTGATCAGCTCTGACAGGCTAATCTGGACTACCCTTTAATAAAAATCTGTTTGCATTACCATACAATGTGCATTCCAGATGAGTTTGGAATATTCATTCATTCATTCATTCAAATATTCACTGAGCACCTGCCAGAAATGGCAATGGACAAGTCCTGGGTAACAGGAGTGGCAAATGAAACGGAGATCCCTGTGTTCAGGAAGCTTTTAATCTAGGGAGTTAACAGGAGGGAAGGCACACAAATAATATAGTTGTAGACAGTGATAAAACAAAAAATGTGCCAATTTATCATTAGAAACTCTGTCGAAGAAACATGTTTTTAAAGCAACCTGTGAAAATGAGAAAGGAGGTATACTGGCCAGATAGAATTCATCCTAAGAAGAAGGGGCTATAAATAAGAGACATTTTTCAAACTAGAAATTTATCTTGAGCAGGACAGGTTACATAGAGTCTGAGAAGCTTTTCCATGCTAAAGAAAGGGAGGGCAAACATTGACAGAGGAGGTAGTGAGAAGAAGCTGGCAGCAGAGGGAGAGGTTTTTACCTCCAACTCCACATGACCAGAGGTGTATTCAGGGTCAAGGCCCCAACCCTCCTTTGGACACTATTATAATCCCTGCTTTCTGCATATGTTTTTTGCCTTTGGAGCGGTTGAAAGTAAAGATAGTGGCTTATATCTTCTCCTCCCCTTTCACCTTTAATTAGATTCATTAAAAAAATAAGCAAGCACCAATAAAATAGGCTTTTCTTTGCCCTGACTTTGATCAGGGCTCCGAGACATTAATAGATTTCTAATTCTCTAATTCAGTACCGCCAACAGCCCTTTAAATTCAGAGTCTGAATCACCATTGTATTAGTCAATGGTGACTAATGGATCAGGAGATGTGGACTGTCTATAAGGCATTTGAGAAGTTAATTGAACTACTTACTATTCAATCCTTCAAAATGTATTGGTACTCATTTGAGAGAATGAGGAAATTCTTGAATACTTTCACATTTCTTTGTAAGCAGACTAAAAGTTATATAATAGGAGACCTTTCATTTGGAATCTATAGAATTCCTAAAACTGTATGTATTAGTAAAACTGCATGTCTATCCTATCTAATAAAAAGAGTAATATGCAGATTGACCATCACTCCAACACACAAGATGGCTGCCCCCATGTGGTCAAATATCCTGCCCCCATTTGGACACAAGATGGCCACCACAAGATGGCCAGCAGGGAAGAGCAGTTGGGAGGCACCAGGCCTGCAAGGGAGGGCAGTTGAGAGAGACCAGGCCTGCAAGGGAGGACAGTTGGAGGTGATCAGTCCTGCAGGGGAGGATAGTTAGGTGTGACCAGGCCGACAGAGGAGGAAAGTTGGGGGCAAACAGACTGGCATGGGAGTGGTTAGGGGGTGATCAGGCTGGCAAGCAGAAGCGGTTAGGGGAAATCAGGAAGGCAGGCAGGTGAGCAGTTGGGAACCAGCAGTACTGGATTGGGGGAGGGATGTCTGACTGCCCATTTATGCCAGTGGGATCAGGTCTAAATGGGCAGTTAGATATCCCTCAAGGGGTCCCAGATTGGAGAGGGTGCAGGCGAGGCTGAGGGACAGCTCCCCTCCCTCCCTGCACAAATTTCGTGCACTGGGCTTCTAGTATGTACATAAATATTCATTAGACAGCCAAATGGGCCCATGAACCATGAGATGTTTTACAGTAGTTTCATAAGAAATCAAAATTTTCATTTAAATATTTCTTATCATTAGAATAATATTCAATAAAAACAAATTTCTAGCCCTCAACATTGTGAGACCAGAGTGGGCATTGTCCATGTCCTTTAGGAAATAAATCATTAGTAAGTAGTACTCTGAAGTCAGCAGTATTCAACAGGAGAGGGAAGCAGCAAAAAGCAGTAGAAATAAGACTGCCCAGTTAATACAGAGTCCTGAATTATAGGGTCAATTTTGCAACTACCCAGCTCTGTAACCTTGTGAAACTCATAACCCCCCTGGCCACCATTTTCTATTTGGATAATGTGAGACTTTAGATTGCATTCAAACCTCAAACTTTCATAGACTCAAATAAAAAGTAGTTTCAGTTTGCTTTAATGGGGCTGTGTTTACATAATGAAGTTGAAGTTCAAGACAATAAACAAAACATTTATGTCTTTTTAAGTGCTGGTCAGCATTAGAAGAGAAACCATCTGTTGCAGTAACAGGATTCACTCCTGCAACTGTTGAGAGACAAAAAACAGATGAAAGAGGTATAAAAACATTTAAGTATGTAGTTATTTGTTGGGTCATCCATCATTTCTGTGCCCAGACTTCTCTCCTGGATCTCCACCTGTAAGTACAATTGCCTACTGGGTGTCTCCTCTTGGACAGCCCTAGGCACCCCTGACTCTGAACTTGTCCAAACCTAAACTCACCTTCCTCCTCAGACAGCTTCTTCTCCAGGGTTACTTTCCTGAATAAACGGTTTCTGAAGTCAGAAACCTAGCAATCATGCTGGATTCCTGTTTCCCCTCCACTCTCCTACATTCTAATCCACAATTAACTCCATCACTTCAAACTACAATGGGTCCTGCTACTTCCATTCTCTACATGCAAGAAAAGTGAACTTTAAATTGGAAATCAAATTTTCCAAATTAAACCCCTTTGGTGGCTTCACATTTCCCTTGGGAAAGAGTCCGACACCGTTACCACTGCTAATCAGGTCCTCTGGATCTGCCCTCCTGGTCTCTTCATCACTCCCCTCTTTCTGACACCACACCCCTCTTTTTTCTCAGGACCTTGCTCCTGCCTCAGCTGTTTCCTCACA